CACACACACAAAAAAAACCCCACTAATTTCCAGATAAAAATGTAAGTTACTGGATAAGAAATATAAATGTAAAAAAAAATTAATATTTGGTACTGTTAAATATTCATAAGAGTTTATAACCACTTACAATCTGTGGTCCTAAATATTGAATTACCCCATGAGACTGCATGTCTACAATAGATTAATTCAGAAACCATGATGGAGAAAAATAACATTTTAGATGTTGTATACAGATGGGTTTTGAGTTAATATATCAGAGAAAACATTCCTTTTTGTTTTCAAATGGATACATCATAAATATATTTATTTTTTTTATATTCTTTTTTTTAAAGCATGGGGCTACTGTTTTCAGTTCATAGTGTAAAATTGTAAAATTCATTTCTGCTTGTAAAATTCAAATAGAATAGGAACAGCTGCTGACTTTCAGAGAAAGAGAGGTCTGGCTTGTAAGTATTGTTTTAAACTAGGTTACGTAAACCCTTAGGGAAGATAACTAGTAGCATTGAGTGCACTTTTGAATTGTTGATACTCAACTACTTTCTAACCCCATAAAGTACCTCATCCCAAATGTATGTGTTCAAAAGATTTCAAATATTATGTTTATGTTTTTCAATATAATAACTATGTTCTGAGATCATAATTCAATTCCATTCTAAAGTGTGACTGAGAATCTGAGGCTGACTGAAACTGAAAAGGAAAAAAAAATTTACTATATTTAATATTATATTTATATATTTAATATTTACTTTAATATTTAAGAGAGCTGGTTCAGAACTGACGAGTATAAATTGACTTTCTATTCAAATCATTCAAAGATTCTTGTAAAATAAATGAACAAGGAATCTATCTTCACCCACACTGAAGCGCCATGAGATATTTAACACCATTGTTCATCTCGGAGTGAGTGCAAGGGAGATAAAGTGTGAGAAACTTCACTGTCAGTCAGAGCATAAGTGCTGCAATTGAAGCAGTCTCCTCATACATTTTTTGATCCTGCTGGATGTTGGGTGCCACTTGGACCAGAGCTATGTGGAAAATAAACTGAGTTTGACATACTTACAAATTCAAAATGTCATACATTCACTGATTATTCATACCACTGGAAGGACGTTTGGTGATAGAAGTGTCAAGTTTTATATTTTGTAATTGCAGGGCGAGTCTGTGAATGTTTCATTTTTTGAAAGCGGGCGAGATAAAGTGATTCCCAAAGCAATGCTGTGATTTGTTTCGCAATCATATTGATTAAATTACCTTGACGCCTTTACAAGCTTTCATGAAAATACTTGAAATTCAACTCTGTATGTCAGAAGCAAAACGCCTTATGTTCCACCAAAAAAACAGATTACTAAAACATTCAAAAGCTTTGCTTAAAGGTGGGATATGTATTTTTTCAAAAGCGCTTTAGAAAACTTGAGTCGGGCCCAGTACCAAAACAAACTTGTAGCCAATCAGTAGTAAGGGGCGTGCAGACAGACAGATGTAAAGGGTGACCAATATCATTGATTTATTGAAGGAAAAAAAAAACACCATCACCAAAAAAAGGGCACTTTGGAGTGTAAGGGCAAAAAGCACTCCAAAATGCTCTGCACAGCTTGAGCCCTACCTGTGCACGTGCCTGGCCGAGCCGAGCGACAACAAAGAGATACTGAGGGTGGATAAAAAACAAAAGACGAAAACGTCTGCGGAACAAAAGAAGGCTTATGATAAGGCAAGATCAAATAAAAGCTGATTCATTTGAATTTCTACCCATCAAAAAATCATAAATAAAACATAGCAGTTTGCACAAAAAGTAGCACATATGCTGTCATGAAACTCTAGATGGCGCAGGCTGATGGGTCGTTAAAGGTGGGGTATGTATTTTTTCAAAAACACTTTAGAAAACTGAGTCGGGCCGAGTACCAAAACAAACTTGTATGGCGGATTAAAAACAAAAGAGGAAAACGTCTGCGGAACAAAAGAAGGCTTACGATAAGGCAAGACGTATAGAACCTGTGTAAACTTCGGATCAGCTTTCCAGCGCTGGAGAGAACTCAAGGAGCGGGAAGGCCTGCGATCAGACGCCGAGGTTGCTTTGTTTCTTCTCGATAGGTGAGTAACATAGGTTTTGCTTTAATATACTCGTGTGTCATAATCGTTGCTTGGGTTGCGTACATATGTGTGGGGCGGAGTTATCAAAATAGGGGCGAGACCTTTTTGGGGTAGGGGCTAGTGTTGTTTTTGGCGGCCTGTTTTAATTTTAGTTTTAGTTATTTAGTCATAATTTTCGTTGACGAAAGCAACACTAGTAGAGGCGTGTTTGTTTTGGTGATTTGAAATATCAATATTGGCTACCAGAAATCACTTACCCTACCTTTAATGTTATGTGGATGAGATTAGTTTAGATAGAGAACAACACCAAATAGGCCATTTATGCGAAGCACAACTTCAAGATTTTCTAATACATTATGTAGAATATACTACAGTATATCTATTGATTTCTAGTGGGCTCTGATTGTTTTGTCAAAAGGAAAGGAAAGGTTAATAAATAATTGCTGTGCCTTTTGGTGCTGTCTTACTGTTAGTGCAGTCCAAGCTCTAGGAGGATCAGAGGGGAAAGGCTTTGACCGATATGACTGATTTGATTCTCCTTTTACCGGTGGCTGTGCTGGGAATGAGTACATGAAGCCCAAAGCATTTCTGCCTTCTTGCCTGCCAATTAGAATTGCCATATGTCAAAGGATATAAAATTATTATCTCTATAAAGATTTATTCACTCTTGGGTGACTTCAATCATCCTTTTTCATTATTCAATATAACTACTCTGATAGTGTATTGCATTTCTTCATCTGAGACTGAATAACCTAGCTTGTGTTGGTTTTGTCTAGCTGATACTTTTGTCTGAGCAATTCATCTGCCTATTTCCACTCAGTGCAAACAAGGTGTTATTTGTATTTATTTGCACTTGATGCCAAGCTACCTTTATTTACACAACATAAATAGCACCTTCCTTCTTTTAAACTTAGCATGAACTGCAGGTGTAATATACATATATATATATATATATATATATATATATATACACATTCATACAGTGGGTATAGAAAAGAATCAACCCCCTTTAAAATAATCACATTTTGTTGCTTTGCTTTGCAGCCTGAAATGAAGACAGGCACAGTTTTTGTTTTATCCAGCTGTATTTGCTCAGTGCAACTTTATAATATCCAAGTGAAAGATATA